CCCCCCCTCCATTCAAAATCCTGGCTACGGGCATGCAATGTGCTTGTTTGTTTGTTTGTTTGTTTAGATCTCCATTAGTATGGAAGTCAACTCCATACTATTCTTCCTGAAGTCCGCAGCATAACATGAAATAACAATAATAATAATAATAATATTTGCTTTTAGCAATAATAATAAATAATTGCTTTTAGCAATAATAATAAATAAAACATACAAATCATACTGAAATTATAACAAACTTGAAACAGAAGGAATCATAGAGAAAAAAAGTGTAACGTTACCTGTTTCGCAGTTCTGGCCTGAGGTTCCAGACGGACAGGTACAGGTGTAGCCAGTCGGACCATTCACACACGTCCCTCCTGACCAGCACGGATTGCCAGCACAGTGGTCTGTGATTAGGAGGAGTTAGGAGAAAATGAAGTGCTTCGTGTACATAGACAAAAATCATGTTGTTTTTTTTTTTTATTTCGGTTGTGCCGGCCTTCTGTGTAGTCATGAAAAAAACTCACTCAAAACATTGTTTCTGATTTTGTAGCGTCGTCTTGTCTTTTGCATATGAACGACTATGTTGTTATAATATTAACTGTTCCATTGATTAAACTTATTTAATAGGGAATTCTGCAGGCACGTTTCGGTATACCGATAAACCCTGGTGTGCTTAAATGATAATGACAGTGATATAAAGGATAAAGGGTACTTAGGATTGAAAATGATAGAGAATTACATCATATAGCAGTGAAGCTACTTAAGAACATGCTGGACGAGGGTCATCCCCTCCATGACCTGGTTCCACCGGCCAGGACAACGGCCACTGGGAGGACCTTAAGAAATGGAACTGCACTTACAGCACCAGTAGCCAGTACGAAAAGACTGAAAAACTCTTTCTTACACAGGGTAATATGCCTGTACAACGAGTCTTCGCAGTAAGACTCTAAGGACTCTCTGGTATTTGCTTCTGTGCCCATGTGAGGCTTTTGTAATGTTTTTGTTTGTGTGTCTGTATATGTGTTGTAATGTTAATTTGTATTTGCTAGACAAATGTAAAAAATCAGTGTTATTCAGCTTGTTGTTGTACTGGCTGCAAGGCTGATTTTTATGAATAAAACTGTTAAACATAAAGTTAACATATTATGTCAGTCAGTCAGCTCCTGTTGTTTGAGCACAGGAGCTACTAGTAATGTTGTCTCAGGGGTGTAGGAACAGGGTCCAAGTGCCAAAGGTCGATGTGTAGGTCAACTTTCCTGTTGAGGGTGGAATTGTACATTTTCTCATATACGTTATGGTGGCATATAAATTTTCAAGGAAAAATATTGCTGTTTAATTTTTTGCCCCTCCCCCTTTTTTATTTAAGGCACTAGAACGCTTCGCCTATTTTAAGGGTTCTAAACTCAAGATGACATCACGGCACTCCTGGGCAGAAATGAAAATGCCTTCATATCCAGATTTGCGTAGAATATGTTCAACTACATGTGTGCCAAATTTGGTGCTTTTAGACAAAAGTGCACAATTTTTCAGCTATGCCGCTGGACTAATATATTGCCTTTCTATATATTGATTATAACTCATCGTTAAACGGTCTAGGATGCTTGGAAGTTTTTTTTTATTAATACCTGCTCAACTACAGATTCCATTAATAACTGTTAACCTTGTCTTGTGGAGCCCATTTAATACACTTTATCTCAAACTGTTCCTTTCATAACAACGCTCGAAATGAGTTGACTATTCAAACTTCTACAATTTATCCCAATTTTACTAAACTTACAGACAAAGAAATAACTATTCTTCTTTTAACTTCCCAAAACCCTCTAATTTTGGAAAAGGTGGGACATTACGTCTTCCATGGTCTAAAAAGAGAAGTCAAACCCCTTAGACATAGTTTTAGACATAGCTATAGCTTTAGACAACTACCTTTTATCAAGTAGATTTTAGTTATTTTATACTCTGTTTCATTGTTCTTTTATGTTTGTAATTTGCAATTAGCCCCCGGGCACGAATTTGCAATAAACTTCTATATGAGTTGCACATACAGTACCATCTATATGTACACCCTGTATATGTACAATTTGGGGGCATTTCTCTTGTGTTAACACATCCCACCGCAGTGAAGCACAACGAATGCGGAAGTAACTACGCCACCGCGGGGCAAAAACGTCAAGGGACTATGACCTGGTTAAGTTAAATTATTTAAAAATATTGTGTAAAAATGCCAGGAGGACAAACTGATGAAACGTAATGGATGCTATGGAGGATTTGACAGTTTCCAAAATATACCCAGTATTTTTTTAAAGTCTTGTTGTGCATCTCATTATATGGATGACNATGGTAGACCGAACCAAACAAAAAATAGTAACCCCAATGAAGGGCGCACAAAACGATAAATCGTACAAGACGATAAAAATACCGCTCTACCCGGCGAGATCACTGAGACCCCACCAGGTAAGCATACCGGAGTACGCACAGCACGTGTCTGTGTGTACTTCGCGAAGTTTTTTTGGTGGCTGGCGAAGCGACATTCATTTTGCTTTGATGTGGATGCTCCCATTTTTATTATGGGCGGTATATTTCTGTTTACCATTCCAGGCAACTAAATTTGTTTTGAACCTATTAAAACATAATATACTTTACACTTTAAGAAAATTTTGTTTGTTTTGCATGCAATGTTCCACACGTTTATTAATTAGGAGTATCAAATAGTGATTATTACATCCTGGCATAGATTATGTTAATGTAGACACAGGACCATACTATTTTCGGGGGTGCTAGGACATATCGTTCAGACTTCCGTCAACATTTCCGTAGCGATATATGGTAAATCACTTCCTCGCTGGACAATATGCCGTTTCAATAAATAACCTGACATCTAAAATTGTTCATTTATAAAGTGCAAAAGCGTGAAACATAGGCCGTAAGCCATGGAGGTCGTTGACCTTTGTTGGGACGCCCCCCTCCCCACAAAAGTGCCAATTCATGTCACTACAGCACACATGTAGCTTACCACACGATTAGACGGTCAACCTAGAGTGTAATTTGAGTTTCTGTGAATATTTCAACAATTTTAGATGTCAGGTTATTTACTGAAACGGCATATTGTCCATATTTCCTGCGTAAACTGCATGTGATGAACGTTCGCGGTTGGTAGGAGGGCAGCAAACCGCAATGCAATTTTTCCCCAACATTGGCAATGAACCCTCGCTTTAGATTACGGGCTTTTTTTAATACAAAGGAGTAATTAACATTCAGCGAGGAAGTGATTTACCATATATCGCTACGGAAATGTTGA